CGTGCATGTTATTGGGCCGTGAACAGCGCTGATTTTACACTTTTCAATGGGGGCCTGAATTAGTGGACTGTACCCTTAAATATTGTGAAGTCATACGCTCTCTTTTAAGTTTATCAGAATTTGTTATTAGTCATAATCTTTTAGAGTCATTTTTTTATTAAAAGTCTTGTTTTTTTATGTATGTATATGTACCTCCTCAAGTTTGGATCAACAGGTTTTAGAGTCAGTGTTAGATTATACTTTTGTCAATCCTGGCCAACTTGGATGGGTTTGTTTTTGTTTAGTTTGTTTACTCATTTATGCTTTTGGTTGTATTTTGGAATTGTATGTTGTTTGTATCCTGTCGATGGCCGAATAAATAATAATGATAATTAAGCAAGTTATAAAGTCTGTTTTGTTGGCGGCCGATTAGGAGAAATAAAATACTCCCATTTGCCTTTCTAGTTTTGCATACAGGCCTATGGTGAGTCATATGAATGAACAAAACTGTATGTTCGAAATAAATGGGGAAACTCTAAGAATGGAAGGCATAATTATCTTCCAAAAAAAGAAAAGAAAACTCTTTAGCTTTGTAATGTAAATCCATAAACGGCTGTATGAACTAATATCAGTTACACAAATTGACCTCTTGACTGTACAAGAATATAAAATGCACCCAAATACTTCAAGATCTATGTCATTTTATGATTTTATTTCGCTACTGTCATCGAGCTTAACACAAAACACTTCACCGCAAAACACTGGCCCTCGTTCAGTCATTTTGTATCTCGACCGACCGAAAGAAAATCCTCTAAACTTCTGACAAGCGAACAAGACAAAGTTGTGACTAAAATTAGAACTGTAGATTGTGAAAAGATTAACAAATAACAGTGGCGATGCCTTTTATAATAAACTACTAAAATGCTGATCAGAAAAAAGGTCAATTCTGTTAGTTGGTATAAAAGACAACAACACATTCATAGTCGTTCAGATTTGAGCAATGGAATTTCGGAAGAATAAAAAAACCACAATGGCTACTAATAAAAGCTCTTCTAGCACCCTCTCACGTATAACATAAAAACGGACTGTCTTTTCCATTGGTCAGGATTTCATTTTCGTAAATTCGTACTTAGTACTTTCGCCATAATTTCACCAATACTTTGTAGCACCGATTATCAAATACGGTATCGTCCTGGCAACCACGAAAAATAACAAATCACAAAACTACACAGTAGTCACGGCAAATGAGCAGCATCAATGGCCTCTTCCACAAATTTCCGGGGGAGGTTAAAAATTCGGTTTGTTGGGCTTGGATAAGCTGCCACAAAATGGAAAAACAGCATTAAACAGCAGCAATATAACAATAGTCTTCGGCGCATTGTACGCGTTCCTTGAACAACGTGAAGTGTAGAACGGCACTTACATTGCACAAGATAGGGCCTCCACATTGTACAGTGAAGTGAGTCGGTGCTTGAAGCAACAAATACTACCCTAACAAACATTGTCCACATAAGTACTACTGGGTGTGGGATCTAATCAACTGTTGAACATTCTTCTTCTAAAATGACAAAGGAAAAAGCCTGATTTTTTTAAGCCTGGCTTGAATTGCCGACAGTTTATGATTTATATCACGAATAATGAACTCGTTTATGTTTCACGTAATATATCACCTTCCATGCAGACTTCCAGATCTAATTCCGATGAAATAACGAATCTAAGATGACACATTTATTTTATAATGTTCTTAACACTTCTACACGTCATAAGTCTTGGAGTGTCCTCCGCACATTCCTGCAAGTCACGACACACATCTCTAATCGAAGACTTGAACATTCTCAATACAAATTTGTTTTTCAAATGCGGCGGGTAGTCAGGCTCCTTTCTCCTCACAATGGAAGAGTACACATGACATCAATGGGTCAATGACGTGTAGTCTTTTGAATGTGCCTCCCCAATCGTCCCCTAGGGGAGAGAAATGGACGCTTGTACTTTTCAAAGAGGTACACCAAGAGGGTAACACTGAAGGACACACCCATGTGACTGTGGTCTCCATTAAGGAACAGTTTCGTCTGAATTGAGTCATCCCTTGTAAATAATGCTGTCACCAACATAAAATCCTACCAGCTTCAACTGTACAGAAAGGAAGTCCACGACGAGAAATAAATGCATGAGTGTTCAAGTTGGGGAATTTTGCTTGCTCACGACCACAAACCCGGAGATTCTGTAGAAGAAAATCGACCAAACTGGTGAATTTACTGGAAAAAGGTGCGGGTTTTCTGGGTTCCAATCGTTACAATAGAGTATAGAAGCCGTGATGTGGTTTTTCACGGGGGGGGTTACATTAATTTTTAATAACCACGGAAGTCCAGCAAGATTTTTTTATGATTTACGCTGAACCTCCAGGATTTGAGTCGCTAAATGGCTTGGTTTCTCACAGTGACAAAATCGTCGTATGGATGAATTAGTTTCTCTGAAAATATCTGATATTCGGTTAACCCACGAAGTTCACACAACCCAGGTTCTGGAGATCATAAAAAAATAATCTGATGATTACGATGGAAATTATATTTAGTCCCAAAACAGTACCAGTGGGGAATAGACCGATGTCGGATATTGCTGGAAATGCTTCAAAAGCTTTGGCCTTGTGGTCAAGTTGATTGTGTTTTGATTTTACTTTGTAGTGTGAGGATATCGCACGCAACTTTGATTGGAATTTGAACATCATTTCACAATTTCAGTACAAAGTATCGCCACATCCTTTTTAATCCATCCACACTGATCAGTTTGCACCCACTAGGCGAGATTCGATGGGTCATAACTGTCAACAGGTCGCATTATAAGGGTTATGCATAGATACAAACCACAGTGAAGTAGTCTCAAGTACAATAGAAGTGGTCATTATCCAAGAATGTCTGCCCACTGGGCTGTGGTTACTGGACTTCAAATAATAATACCTTCAACAAGGACTTACTTATAGCTAGCTAATTTGCTTTGTACAAAATCTGGCCTCTCACAGATCCAATGAAATAATGTTCAAACTTCACAAAAATTGATTTAATGAATGTGGAGCCTTTGTGTTTAAATTCATGACATAAACAAACTGATTTTTTTTAAAATAAATGTACATATACAAGCATCATGGAATCCCGAGAGGTGAAGTTTGGTTCGTTCAAGTTATTCGTCATTTCGAACAATACACATCGGTCATCTTCCGGAGACCAACGACCCGGTAAACCAGTTCCAGAGAATGTAACCATAACTGTGAACGGTCGGTGTTTGTCCATAGAATTTAAAAAGCATTCCAGTTCTGAGTAATAGATTTCCTAAGATTCATCCTTTTAATATCAATTTTCTGCCAAAGCTATGTGTTGACACCTTTCAGATCTTTTGGGTGACAAGTTGGCGGAACAGTGATTCAAAAAGCCTTTGAAAAGTTTGAGCAAAACAAAGGTGCATAATCGTTGAACCACGACCACCCGCAGCCCCAACCGCCCACAACCCGTCCACAAAATGGACGAGTCTTTCTCTGCATTCCCACATATGATTCTGTAGTCTCCTCTATGACGAGGTGTACCTATTGTTAAACTAAACTGGTACACGTTATTGTTATGCAAACTCCCACGGTTTGAGGAAATCCCTTTAAGAAACCTCCGTGACTGTCCCTACGGCAAACAGTTTTGAAAATCGACAGAAGTCACAACGGTCTCTTTCAACCCTGCTGGTTGGGGTTTAAAAGTTAGACATCTACGATAGTTACAATCATAGCAGTTAATTTATATTTCGAAGTCATTGGCGAACTTTTAGAAGATGATTCTACACAGTAAGATGGAGAGGATGATGTTTATCTCCGGGATGATCTTATTTCTCGTGTTTCAATGTACCAATGTCTGTGGACGATCTTTGGTAAGTTTGAATTTTACAAACGAAAACAAAAAGCTTTACACGAGACGATGAATAGTTTCCAATCCTGGATAAAACTTGTTGCATTTATGTTACAAGTTTGAACTTAAGAAGTTTGCTAACTTTTTCCGATTAAAAATGTCAACAAGAGAGAAGACGTTAATAACTCGTGCAATATTATAGATAACGTCTAACTTTAATGTGATACCATTGATTTTGCTGATAACCAGGGCACAAGCTTAAGCCGTTAATTCCGTTTCGTCGGAGTTACTTGATTATAAGACGCATTTCTAATTTGAAAGTGAAAGTAATTTAAAAAGCTGTGAGAATTTGTGATGGTAATTTGGAAACTGGCAAACGCATGTTACTAGTGGCCATGACGTGTCAACATCGTTAGACCGCTTAACACGACCCAGCATTACGCACTTTTGTATAGTGCTGTTGAAAGGAAAGATTATGTCCATGATTCTACCAGGAACATCTGGGGTATACAGGGGCAAAGGTTCCTAAGACTTGGTCTATTAACGTCTCTGAAATCACTAATTGAACAATTGATTCTTTCGCCAGATAATGAAGAGGTTTAAATTGGAAGGACCTTCGGTCTAATTTGTTGCTCGTAAGAAGAGCACTAAGTTGTAAGAAGAACATAGTTTTGCTTCAGACTACGGAATCAACCCTTTCTAACAAATCCATACAGTCAAATCTAGATGCACGAGAATGCTTGAACCGATAAAAACTTGCTTTTATTACGCGAACTCAGTGAAAGGTAAGCATTCTGCGATCTCTTCACTCTGAAGGGTGAACGCAGTTGTATTCAGTTTCCCCATTTCCCGAAAGATCACTGTTTTTGCTTGTCTTAAAGCCAATACTTTTTGACATTTGTAATATTTAAGTCACGTTAATAAAGTGAAGAGTGTATGTGGCCAAAAATCGAACGTGCAGTTCAATAACAATCGGCGTGATGACATACAGCAAGGGAGTGGTCCAAAATTTGGCCTCGAAAAGGTTGTCATTAACGGCTAGTTGTGAAAACCTTCTTGATAAGTTGTGCCATCTCAAGTTGTTGCTATAGACCATCTACTGTGCGCAGCTTTGAATAGCTCGCCAAAAGATGGCTGTAACTTTTTATGATGTGTGGAGATGCTTGTGGGTTTTGTGTTCCTTGTGCGACCGACTTTAGTCTAATAAAAGTTTCCTACCTTTCTGATAGGTGTAAAAATGCCATCGTTTATCATTTTGCCCATTTACGTGTTTACGAGACATGGAAAGTAGCAGTATTCTATCGTATAGTTGAACAACATTAGAATTTAGAGTATCATAACTTCTATAACAACAGCCATTCCATTCAACCATGATTCTACTTGTACTAATCTTCATCAGTACTCTATGAGAATTTAGGGGATCTGTATCTCACGCATTAAAGACCAATCCAGTGTAGATTTAGGGTTTATGGGTTATGAAGAAGTTACTAGACTTATTGACTGCCTAATTAATTCATCATCCCTATGCTCCCGTGCCTAATCAACATGAGCGTACTGTCACTATGTCTACCTGCCAACAAACATTACTGACCGTTACAAAACGTATTGCTCGCACACCTTGCTGAAAGCAAGGACGTCATATTAATCCCTGAAGGTCGATCTCCGGACATTCACCGCTTGAGGCGGTATTGCCGTGAGTTGTGTTCTTACACAAATTTATGGGAACAAATCGCAGATTAGACCTTTAGAAATTCCCTGTTAACTCGACTTTTGTTGGTGTATTTTGACCTTAGACGGTCTGATGGGGGACATTCTAGATACAGGTATAGCTTCACGAGAAGTACAATTCGGATATACGTGACAGACAACAAGAATTAGTTGTGTAACTCGGAGCTTATGCTTTCAAAGTCACTCTGAAAGCCAAGAAAAGATATAGGTCACTTTGTCGGTTGAATTCTTCCAACAAACCAACCAACACAATGTAGAGACTACTGAGGCAGATTTCGTTTCATCTTTACCAAAGTTATTTGTCGTATTTTCAAAATACTAACTCTAATGAGATTTTGTATCAGGTTCAACTTTGATATGGCGTATTACAACAAAGCCAAACATTTCGATGAAAAAGTAAAAAGGAGCTAAGATTATATTCCCCGTAAATTAGTCCTTCTGTTGTCCGAGTATCAGATTTTCAGGTTGTGTTTGGAAAATGCGAATGGACATTGCACAATATGTCTAAGACGGCATGCGTTATTTTGTCAGACAAAAGGCTCAATTCACGTCTAGTCCAGGATAGGTTGACGAATAACTACATGCAACTAAAAAGTGATTAAAACCCCTACATAGATTAGCTTTATGGTGGTTAAAAACACATGAAATCTAATGCTTTCTGACTGAAACAGAGACAAGGAAATGTTTGGGGATTTGTGAATTTCATTTTGAACGAGCATGGCGGTTTGTCCCACTAGAAAACAACGCCTGAACAAGATATGTTTGCGGGAGATTCAGAAAAATGTGCACCAAGGCCTGTCATACATTTCTACACCTGGAGGTTCATTTGTGACCTTCCTACCTTGAGCTTATTTCTAAAGACCTCAGGTCATTTTTTTTCCTGTGGGGAAAAGTGGAACTTTTGTACAAAATATTCATTCATCAGGTCGCATGAGGAAAAATGTGGATCCTTAGAAATCTGTACCGTTACACAAACTTGTTTTAGCAAGGTTATTTTAATCAACTTCAATTCCGCTTTCTTGTTTGTCAAATTAAATGAACATGTACTTCATGTTCTTTGCCAGCTATCCATCGATGCAATTTTTCGGAGAGTTGGTTTACGTTTTCACAAAAAAGGGCCATTTTTATACCCAACGATCCTTTTCAATCAAATGACAGTCTCTTGACAGTTCCCTTGAAATCCCTCCCCCCCCAAAGTCGGTGTCTCTCTTTTTCCATATTCACTGAACCTTAACCCTGATCCGGTGCGTAGGGCGAATTATGATAACCACAACTATAATACACAAAGGCAATGTCATAGCTTGTAGCGGACATCATGGCGCTCAAACCTAACTTCCATTTTATAATTGATTCGGTTGTTTGTTTTGCAGGATTCACAGTTGATGTCAAGTGACGATGCCAAGTATTATATGGATGCCTTTTCTTCGCCAGAAAGTGAGTGATTTATCAATAGAAATTCCCATTAATTAGCCTAATCTTTACAAAAAGCTGCACTTTCCTTTAAAAATGGCCTCACTCTTGATTGTTTTCCTGATGTTACAGCGCATGAATTTGAAGTCGTCAGTCCATGGGAAGTTGAACACTCCAGGAGAAAACGGGAGGCAGATAACCCGTTCGACATTTCTGAGTTTAAGTTCAACGCTTTTGGTGAGGAATATCACCTGCAGCTTACAGCCAATCGTCAACTTACGCGCAAGGGACTAAAAGTGGAGTACGTGGATGCAAATGGCAATGTTGAAGAGCGACCTCTACCTGAAGACCATAAAAATTGCTACAAAATTGGCAGGGTGTTATCGCATGAGGGCGCTAGTCGAGTGGCCATCAGCACTTGTAACAATGGCCTGGTTAGTTTCTGAGGTTCATTACAAACCTTTTAATAGCTACCTGCTCCAAATCTTACTTTTTGTTAAAGAAACAAGTGTATTCTGTTTGAGGTCGACAATAACACCGAATACTGAACAGCAGGAGTATTTTATGAAAACTCTTTTGCATTTTTTAAATTTATGAATGAATTTTCCCCGCCTCCGACCATACCCTCAGCTAAGCTAAGCGTTAGGATAACAAAGGCCTAGCCACTTTTCCTATTTCCATGCCTAACGGTAACTGGTTATCGATATCCTGCGGATATAAAGTCCATAATTTCTTGTAACCTTTGCCATTATCATTTTCAGTCTGGGATTGTCAAGTTGGAAGGCTATGAACTGTTCATCCAGAAACTCAGTGACAATCACACTGAATCCGTCCGAAGAAAAAGACGTGACCTGGATAATCCCCACATTGTCTACCGGCGATCAGCGGATGATGAAGTCGTTGAGGATACCGAGGATGCAGACAATGGGACAGACACACACTTTTGTGGTTTGGAACGTAAGTTGCTCACTTGTTCTTTTGTCAGGAAAAAAATGAGAGTGATCTGCAAGATCTGATGAAGTTGGCTTGATATAGCTTGTCATTGACATTTTTGAGCAGTGTACATGTATTCACATGTTCAGTCTTTTCTCTCCCTAGTCTCCCCTTCTTGCTTTGATTTCTCATCGCTTTCTGATTCACAAATTTCTGAAACATAGCTTGTCTTGCCAAATATAACTACAAGTACGTGGTTATGCACTAATTAGTTTTCCATTTGATTGGATCAGGTGGGTACTACCATTACCTAGAGACAAGCATGGACGTGGAACTCCCTGATGAAGATGGTGATGAAGTAAGGAGAAGGAAGAGAGATGTGGGATGTAATAATGGAGTTCCAGTTGGATCAAGGACTCTGGAACTATTTGTTGTCATTGATGCTGAGATGGACAGATATCACTCCATTAGAGGACGTAATTCTACACAGATAACTTTGACACTCTTCAACATGGTAAATATCTGAGTTTTGAAAAGGCCAAAATGTCTCAATGGGGTTTAACAATTGCCCTAGTCAGCAGGCCACGTAATCAGACTTTGGGAATTAGCATAATTTGTTTTCTACTTTTGACAGATTTATATATTTCTGGATGGGGGTGCAGCGATGGAAGTAAATCTTTTGTGCTTAAGAACACTAAATAGCCTTACTTGAACTGAATAATTGGACGCTGTTGACATATGTACGACCTGTGTACAGCATTCAAATCTTTTTGTGTTATTTCTGTTGTTTTGACGTTTAGGTTGCTAGTAGCTACTTACATGAATCTCTTGGAGTTCCTGTCAACATAAAGATTGTTAGGCTACAGGTCCTTCAAAATACAAGTGTGAGTATAGCCAAGCAGGAATCTTCATTGCTTATGCTATATCATAACTCATGTCACAGTCATGTGACACCTTATCTCAGTGTGTGTTGGTTGTCATGGTGACCATGTCAACATAGTTTTCAATGGTAAGCGCAAAACATTGTAGCCATGTACCCACATTGAAAATTTCTATATTTCTTCTCAGAGGGAAGGTGTAATGATTTATTTCATTTATCCACAGCTGGATTATGGAACAGGTACATTGACTGTGACTGCAGAAGGAGGAGACACTTTAAGTAGTTTCTGCCGTTACCAAAGGGCCATGAACAGTTTTGATGAGAACAGTTTAAATCACTTTGACACTGCAGTTCTAATCTCCAGGTTTGTGTGAAACTCTTAGACCGAAGAATCTTTCCAAAATCACATCATGATGCTCTTTTCATTAATTTCACAGATATGTTGGCTCATTAACAAGAGCCATTCAAGTTTGCGTGTGGAAATTCTAGAAAATGTTTCGCATTGGTTTAAATTAAAAAAAGGCGGAGCCTCAGCCACAAGGGGGGAGGGCAGCCCCAAGTCTTTATTCTGAGAATGACATTTAAGGGTGTGAAATGTAAAGTAAGTTAGGAGTGGACTCAAGATGAAATGAAGACTACTGTATTTGTTTCTTGACAGATATGACCTGACTCTACAAGGCAGCAGGTCTCTGCTTGGTATCGCTCAATTTAACGGAGCATGTAGCCGTGATTACGCATGTGCATATGTGGAGGAATCTGGCTTTGGTTCAGGCGTAGTCATTACCCATGAGCTAGGACACAAGTGAGTCCTTCCTTGATCCTCCTGGGTAGAATCCTGATTTGCCTTTTACTTACAGTTTGAAAGTGGTATTTGGTACAAGCAAGTTTCATCAGTGTACCAGCATATCAAGGATGGTAGGCATATTTGTATGATGTTCTACCAGCCTACTTATAGCAACTGTGTAGTTTCCATTTTTCTGGAATTCCATTTTGATGATATTTCAACATACCAGCACGGATAATTCTGTGTACGTGTACATATGTTACAATATGAAGTTCAGGAATGTTTAACTCACCTTAATTTTCCTGTGGACAGCCTCGGTATGGAACATGATGGTGATGGACGGTTCTCAGAAGTTGCTGCCTCTTGTCAGAATGGAGTCAACATCATGTCATCTTCCAGGACGTATGGACCAGGGTCCTTCATCTGGTCCTCATGCAGCAAAGTTCAGCTGGAAAATTTTGTGTGGTAAGTCCTCATTTTTCTAAAGCAATAAAGATTTACAGAAAACGAGAAACTAGAGATTGTTAGAACGAGAAAAGTTCCAATATGTTGTAAAAGTCGGTATTGTCAATTCCTTGCAAAAGTTCAAGCATACATCAGGTGGTTGCTAATGGCAGGTATGCCATACATATTTTGATTGTCTTGGAAACCATTTATTTTGGTCCAGATTGACACTATTGACTAGTGTGTTTTTTCTTTTGAAGCCATCCTTTCAAGACATGTTTGGACGACAGTTCTCCTAGCAACACTCCTATTCCTTTGGATCCACTTGATATGCCTGGTGTCAGGTATACTGCAGATCAGCAATGCCAATTCATCAATAGTGGAACCACTCAGAGTTGTCCAAGTACCACTGTGAGTACAAATGACTATCATAATACAAGTAGAAAACGAATATGGAACTTGCCCAAAAAATGGTTTGAACACTGTGCTATTTTGAAAACATATTGTGCATCAGTTTCTGAGTTTAAGTCTTTTGAAAGTGATGTGATATGACAGCATGTTTCAATATTTCCCTCTGCATTTTTTTTCAAATATCACAAATTTAAATACTTCCGCCAATTGTTTAATTCATTTTTAATTGCAATTGTGATGTGACATTTTGTTTTCTTAAAATTCTATAGTGTGGTCACTTAACATGTCGATATTCTCACGGTTTATGTTCTGGGACCGGCGTGGCTGCTTTGGATGGAACAAGTTGCGGAACAAATAAGGTGACAATTATTATGATGAATAATGGACATTCTGGATTGTGAATGTTGACAAACTGAGAATTATTTAGACTTTGCCGTGAGGTATTTTGGAGGCTCTGAGCTGACCATCAAGGTCGTTTCTTTTATTTGCCAGTGGTGTCTGGAAGGAAATTGCGTGGACATACCAAGTAACAATCCACCCTCTACAACACCGGTCAATGGTGGCTGGTCAGCATGGTTCGAAGGTCCATGCTCTGTCACATGTGGTCAAGGTATTCGAACTAGAACAAGGCTGTGCAATAATCCAGTGTAAGTCCATGCTGTTTGTAAAGATCACAGTCACCATTTTCGTACAGCCAATCACAAGAATTTCTTCAGCATGTGCATTGTAGGAAAATTGTGCAATTTTTCGTTAAGTTCCTCCAATGCTTCTAAACTTATAAAATTAAGTATCCATGCTTTCATTTTTTTTAAATTTCACATTATTTTGTAGTCCTCAGAATGGTGGTCTACCTTGTGTTGGATCAGAAACTGATACTCAATCTTGTTCCGCTCAGGTGAGCAAAATGTTTTCTCAGATTCTGTGATGATTGCTGGCAAAGTCCTTTTACTTTAAATACTGCCTGTGCATGTAAATTAATTAATGTTATTTCTGATTTTCCTATTTATATTTTAGAGCAGTTCTTAAAACTAAGTTTCTTTACCACTGGAAGTCACCTCTACCTTCTCAAGGACAATTGTTTTTCAACTCTTTAGTTTCACATGACCGTTTGCAAATTGATGTACCAGTTATTCTAATCTGTATGTCATTTGTGTCATTTTGTTTAGAATTGTCCCACTGTCGTTAATGGGGGATGGTCATCTTGGCAATCAGGTCCCTGTTCTGTGACATGCGGTGGTGGACAACAGACAAGGACAAGAACGTGTACTAATCCTGTGTAAGTGTCTTTCAACCATTTGGAAAAGACAGCGTTATTGGTACCATTTTAGGAGAATGAAGGTTCTATAGAAGCTTTGGATGGTAGCCATCTTACAGGGCAGTTCCACAGGGAAACCTTCTTTGTGTATACCCCTGTGAAACAAAAACACTTGCCTGCAGGATGGCAGCCATGCAAATCCTCTATTAATTAAGATCTATCCAGGAAATGAAACCATGATACCTGCTACTATCTCAACTACTAACAAGAAACCTTTGTACACTCTAAATTTTAGTTCCACATCCTGTATGTATGCTAATGCATTCAACACTCCTTGCTTTCCTGTGAAATACACATATCCAATTTAAATTGTGCTGTCTGGCAAGGTAGGCATTAGTGCATTTGATTAACTGATTTTAGAAATCCTCTTAAAGATGAGCTCTGCTTGCCAGTGATTTGGCTCTGATTTTCAAAACATGTTTCTCTTACAGTCCTGCAAATGGTGGTACTCCCTGCAGTGGAAGTGATACTCAAATCATCAGTTGTAACACACAGGTAAGATTTCCATGGAAACCTGAATATGACATGAGAATTTATCCATTCTTGTAAGTCTTTCTTTGAAAACAATCCTCATTTTGAAGCTTGTCCTGATTCCTTTCATATTTTTATTTTCTATGGCATCAATAGAACTGTCCCAATGTTGTGAATGGGGGATGGTCATCATGGCAGAACCAAGGCTCATGTTCTAGAACTTGTGGAGGTGGGCAGCAGACACAGATAAGAAGCTGTAATAATCCTCTGTAAGTTCTATGCTTTTTTGGACCCGAACTGGCTAAGATAACGACTTGGAGTGTTTAATCTGGCTAGAAACACTACAGTTATAGCAGTTGATTTTAATAAAGCTTGATGGTCCGGTGGTTATGATGTCTGCGCTAGCAAGCAGGAGGTCGTGGGTTTGAGTCCCACCCGAGTACACTTGTGGTTTTTTCACAAGCCTTCAGGGGCAAACACTGAGTATGCAGTGTTACAATACATGTTGGGCAGGGCAAAAATCCAAAACATCTAATCGGTGCAAATCCACCCTTCAAAATAAATGGTATATGCTTCCAAACCCTGAATTCAAAGCTGTGTTCTAAAAAGATCTGAAGCTATGTTAACATTATGAAATACCTTTCTTGTCCTTATTGTACAACATGCTTTATACTAAGATAAGTTTATCTGCTTATGTTGAAACTGATTTTTCTGTCAATCCATGCATCTGTTAGTGTGTTTAGAGTGATAATAACCTAATTGGGAATCCTTTGCTGATAATTGATACTTTTGAATGATTTCCCCCCACAGTCCTCAGAATGGTGGTGCTTATTGCAGTGGTAGTAACATCCAATCCGTTAGCTGCAACACACAGGTGAGATATCTATTATTGATCAAGACAGGTGTAAGAAATGTGACTGCAATAAACGTCTTAACATTCATCCTGCCTCTTAAACTGGACCTTCTTCCTATTGATGCTGATTAATAAAGGTTATGAGTAAACGCAGAGTTATTGGCGCAAATAGCCTGAGTAGCTGAAAGCGCCATTAAAATAAAACAAACAACAACGACATCTTAACATATTACAGTACTATGTGTTACATTTTACTCCTAAGGAAGCAGCAAATTAAGTCCAGATTACACAATGACCATTACACTTGGCATTTTTGCATAAGTTGTACAGGTTGTCATGTCAGTGTTGTTAAAGAAAACTTGATTTTGCATTTTAGTTTGACTTCAATTTGAGGGGATTTTATTTCCTTCAATTCATTGTTTTCTTGGTGGCATTTATAGGACTGTCTCATTGTTGTGAATGGAGGATGGTCGTCATGGCAAACCCAAGGTTCCTGTTCCAAAACTTGTGGAGGTGGGCAACAGACACAAACAAGATCTTGTAATAACCCTCTGTAAGTATCATGTCCAAAGTCGACCTTAGAGATTGCCCCAGTTTGACAAATTACATGTTATTCTTACTTCACAACGTGGTCTAACTACTTTACTTTTTGCCATTAGGGGTCTTAGATACAATTTAAGGAGGGAATTACACAGAAAGAATGATTCTTAATATTCAAATTATTTTCTTTCAGTCCACAGAATGGTGGTGCTTACTGCCAGGGAAGCAGCTTTCAAATAATCAGCTGTAATGTGCAGGTAGCATTACTTTTAGATTGCTGTCAATTTGTCACTGTCCTGTCTTTATTCAGTGCAAAGCACAGAATTTGAAAAAAAGATGCAAAAAGTTATAAGTGGAATTTGTAAATATAAATGATGTGTTTGTTCATACAGATAAATTTTCAATGCCAGTGAATTGAGACTTTAAAATCTTCTGAGCAGAAGTGTAGAATATGATGGTGTGTTTCTAAAACATGACTTGACTTTGATTGGTTAATTACTTGTAGCCATGTCCAACTGTGGTTCATGGAGGCTGGTCAGATTGGTCCTATTCCCTTTGCTCTCGATCTTGTGGAGGAGGAACTCAAGTACGAACAAGGACTTGCACAAATCCGATGTAAGTGGGGCAAATTCTGCAAGGAGTGATTATAAGCTAAATATGGGCGATTCACAATACAACGTGCCACCTAGAGTTTGCCGCAGACAGCCCACTCTTCAAGTTAATGGTCAACACGCTACCACAATTAAGCACACTTCACACACAATATTATGGGGATGTTTGATTGATTGAGGCATTTCCTGCACCACACAAAACCATCATTTGACTACCTCATATCCATTCACAAAAAAAGCAATTTCGAATTTTCAAATAAGATAAACATTCAGAAAATTTAAGTTTTTCGCGCACAGTTAGCGAACGGAATTTTGTAGACTGTTTATTCCATAATTCACTGTGAAAAGGCCTCTCCATGGCAACTGTTTGGTAGCACACTCCATTATCAATATCACCCTTATTTGGTGAAAAATGTGTAGTGTATGAAACTTTTAGTGATTAAGAAAAACTAACAAACATTGATTAGTGAGTCCAAATTGTCTAGACAGAATGGTTAGGTTTTTAAATGGTATTTAAATGTTGAATAATTGAGATTTACTGTGAATTGACTATAAGTTTGGAATCACTTTTCTTACATTGTATAGACCACAGAATGGTGGATCTCCATGCTCTGGGAGTAACTATCAAAGTGGAATACAGTGCAACGCACAGGTAAGTTCTTCTGTTGATTATAGCTCTGTTACTCTTAAGCTTTTCTTTGTAGCTTTGATATCCTTTATTTACTCTGTTAGCTATTGTTGAAGCTACAATGTATGTTTTCCTTTCAGGCCTGCGCTGTAGATGGTGGATGGACAACCTGGGGAGAATATAGTCAGTGTTCAGCTTCCTGCGGTTTCGGTCAGAGGACTCGACATCGGACGTGCACCAATCCAGCGTAAGTCTCTTACAGTGACTTTTATGTATCCATTATGAAGCTTATTGGACAACGGGAAACAAAGAGTGACAGTGCAGAGATGTTTGAACCTTTCTTTTGTGGTTTTTTTTTACAGCCCAGGGGCTGGGGGCGCTCCTTGTTCAGGGCCCAATTTTGAAACCGTTCAATGTGGTAATGGACAGGTAAGAAAATATTCCACTTGCTTTTATTCAGCTGGAGCAATAATTTTTGTTGATTATTTTTGTTTACCTTAGAAAATTGATGTAATGTTGGTACATCGTATGCTTTTAAAATGAAAGCTTTGCTCTCCAAGGGGATAAAATTCTGTACATTATTTTTACTGTTAAAAATGATGACTTGCATTTTATGCACTGACTATTTTAGGGATGTCCAGTGGATGGTGGATGGTCGGCATGGCAACCCTATGGTCCTTGTTCAGTGACTTGTGGTACTGGGCAAAAAATGCGAACTCGGACCTGTACCAATCCACCGTGAGTGCTATTGAAATGAAGCAAATCTTTAGCGTTCATAACTTATATTGTACATAAGTCTGAATATATAACAAATAATTTTTTGCTTTGATTAATTACAGTTGGGAAGTTGTCACGTTTTCATTCCATCACATCCTAACGTTCTCAATCAAATTTTTTTTTATAAATGCTGATAAATATTTAATGTGATTCAAAACGACTAAAAAAGGGAATAAAATGAAAGATTAACTAGAAATGTATTTGAACCAGCAAAGAAATATTATAATTAGACTCCTGGAACACAATGTCAAACACTCAAAGCCCAGAAATTATTATCAAATATCAAGTTATATGTTAAAGGTACAGGTGCGCAGAAGAAACTCACAATTGGGTTGTGACATACATGTACCTGTGAACAGTCAATAATTATGTTTGTTCTTTCTTGTAATAGACCTGAGCATGGAGGCCAAACTTGCACAGGCTCAAGTACAGAGTATCTTCAGTGTAGTAATGCACAGGTGAGCCTGGGAAAAAACTGGAGTGACTTTGGGAGAAAAGAAAAGAAAAAAATCCTCCTGGATTTTAAGGGGAAACTTCGTTCGTAAGAGATCCTTCAGACTTGGCAAATTACCTTGTTATAACAGGAACCTTGTATTATCAGGAATGAAAACAATAAGAAACAAAGGGCTGGGACCTAAAATTTTCCTTGATATAAGCAGAATCATGTACTAATAGTGCTCTTATTAACGAGGTTTGACTGTCTAAGTTATGAACAGAGACCAGCAGTGTCTATTATTAATCATTGCAAACATCTTGAAATACTTGGAATGCTGTTTCTTCCTTTCTTCCGCCTACAGTACTGTTTCAAAATTTCAAACTCCTTATGAAATGTGACATTTGCCAGGTAATTTAGTAAGGAATTATTTCATGTTTACCATGTGTCAGGCATGTTCTGTTCCTGTGAATGGTGGCTGGTCAGCATGGCAACCAGTTGGTGGTTGTTCAGTGACTTGTGGTGGTGGTGTACAGAGTCGAACTCGGACTTGCACCAACCCAATGTAAGTATCCACACTTGGCTAAAATATCATTCCTTTCTAAAAGTATGGTGCCTGAACGATTTTTTGGTGACATCTGAATTGTTTATAATGAAAAAAAAAATTTGGTTTCATTTTTTAAATTGCATTTTGGTAAACCCCCCGCCCAAAAAAATAAATTAAAAAAAAATGGCTGAAGTAGCATTCAAATTTGTGGTATGAGAAATTTACCGTTTGAAAAATTCATTTAAACTTTGTTGGTAGTCTCCATTTTGGGGGTTTTATTTGATAAAATATTGTTATATGCAAAAAGTAGGGAACTAAACTGTCATTATTTTTTAGCCCTCAGAATGGTGGTCTGCTATGCTCTGGTCCTTCAACAGACAGTCAGCCTTGTAACACACAGGTTAGATGTACTACATGGATTTGTGGTTTGGGTTGGGGTTACCGGTAGAGTAGAGTTGATACATGTATTAAAGTGAAAGTGAACTGCAACCATCAAAAGAACACACAATCCTTTCAACTCATTCTTCAATCAATCAATCAATCAATCAAGCAAGCAAGCAATCAATCAATCAATCAATCAATCAATCAATCAATCAATCAATCAATCAATCAATCAATCAATCAATCAATCAATCAATCAATCAATCATTTTAACCACAGTTCATCATCATCATCATCCTGTCTGCAGGCACTGTGGCAGGTGGTTTTTTTTCATTGAAGACATTGGCAAGATTTGTTCTCTTTATCTACATCTGTTTCAAATGTATTTTTTTTAACATTTGTTCTTTAAAATCAATTTACTGAAGAAATAATGGAAGTTGTGTTTTATGTTTCAGAGCTGTCCAACATCGGATCAGATCGTTAGTGGTACATTCAACGAAGGAACTCATGGAGGTAACCATGGAGAAAACAATTTTCAGCATTAGATCTTTTGCATATCTTTTTAAATGGATTTGGTATGATATGCTGAAACCTTTTTGTATCCTGCTAAAGGGCAGATTGTATCGTTTGTCAAACCACTCAGTTTGACAAAGTTATTCATTCCAGAATTTGACATTTTCACATAGTGTGTACAAAATTGCAGATATCTGCATGAAATATAGTTCCCTTAACCCTCCCTACCGGGATATTAAGACAAGAAATGACCAACATACTGCAAAATGTTGCAGAAATACCTGATTTTAAACTAAAAACTACTTCAAGAACTGCATATACACCAATTGACTCAAACACTGGATTCTACAGTTTATCACAAGTAGTATTTTGTAGCTCAACATATACATATTTAAGGTAGGGTAAAGGAATTCACAGTTGAGTTGGATTTATCCACAGAGTACAATGAGTTTCTGACGATCCCTGTGGGTTCAACATCTGTTGTTATCAGCAATGCAAATGTGGTTACTCATATGGGTAAGTTCTCTTTTCCACTGTTGTCGGTAACAATGCAAAGAGTACCAGTAATTTGTGAACAAATAAACACAGTGAACTGATGACTACCAAAGAGGTTTTTCAAGTGACGTAACATGATGGGCGAAGTCATTTCGAAAAACATACCATGTCCATGGAGGAGCGTGCATTTTCGAATCCGTGTATTTCTCTTGGCAATTTCATGTACACAAGATTGTTGAGTGACTTCAAAGATGCGCTCATTTCCACGCACATCTATGTAAATCGAATGCTGACCGTCAGAAATGACATTACTGAAAATCCTCTATAGACGGAAGCCACAGTTATTAAGTGGTCCTAAGGAGAAATGGAGACAATGAACAGGTGGATACTTGTGGAAAATTGCTATAATGAACATGCTGTCAGATATATATAATACCCATGGACAGGTGCAGTAGATGGGTATAAAACTTGCAAAGTACACGCATGTCTGTTTCTAATTCTTAGTCATTGATGGATGCTCATTTTGTATTGTCTCCGATTCCATACACAGCAATCAAAGACGGCAATGACTTTGTTCTGGGCGAGGTAGTTGGTAATACGCTGCCACCAAGAAGGATCACAGAACTGTCTTACCATGGGACAGTCATTGTGCATGATTACTTTGTCACCTCTGTGTCTGCTGAGACCATCACCATAGCCGGTCCCACGACTGTAGAACTCAAGGTCTACGTTCATGTGCTGTTAGATCCTAATGTGTTTGGCACGCAAGGAGTGCCAGATATCAGTTGGTCATTCCAGTCACCCAGTGTTGAGTACCAGTGGACCCTGACTCCAGGCCCATGCAGTGTGACCTGTGGTACAGGTGGGTCATATTGTCAGGGGTCAAAGGTTAATACTGCATGATAGTGGTTCCACATTTCTGTATAGATTATGTGTTGTGTAAAGTTTAAATGATGAATTCCTTGAAAAAGCTGTCTAACTTTTTGACAATAGTTCTAAATGGGTAACAGGTTTCCTGTACTTCAATTAATTCTCAGGTTGTATCATGAGTAAAAGGGTCTTCTGTTTAACTACTCAGCTCAGAGAGTTTCACTTGTTTTCTAAGACGCTGCATCACTTCACCAAACTGAGAATTAGGGATAACTGAATTTAATTATTTATTAATGTTGGTGTGGTAAGATTCAAACCAGAGCTATCAGATGAGATTAAGTCACTCCTTGTGAATGTTTGTATCTGTCAGGTGTTCGGACAGATGTGGTGCGTTGTGTTCTCATTTCCAACCAGCAGCAGTACGTGTCTCATGATGAAAGTGTCTGCAGTCACTTACCCCGTCCAACACCCACTGTTGAGAGCTGCAACGAGGCTCCATGTCAGGAGGCAAGGTGAGGAAAAGACAATTGATCAATTAAAACCAAAGAAGGTTTACTCTAAGCATATCCTTCCTGTATCATTTTTCTTTCGTGTTGTAATTGGATTGCTACTCTTATGTAAAATACTTCAGTCCTCCATTTTAAAGGAGAGCAATTGTGCAGGTGCTCCTACAGTGCTCCTGAACACTCCTAAAGGAGCGTAAAAAATTGACCCCTAAAAAAATCTAAGGGCGTTTTACAAATAACGAACGATATGGCAAACACAGTGGATAACATCACCTAAGAAGGACTGTAATTCGTTTGTAACTTACAATTTCACATTTATCCCACCGCAACTTTCATACGTAGGCCTATAATTATTGTACGAATACATGTATAGTATGATCATTGCATCACGAGCATGGCTTGCTTTCAGACCGGCCAGCCAGCCCTGCATGCACCTGTTACATGCACACTGTAAACTGTACATATGCTGGCATGTGCATGTATGTCACTCGTAGTTTCGCTGTACATGGTACAATCTGTTACATGTTTTTATTGGTCAGTAACAAGTTTTCAGTGACAAAAGAGCCAATCAGTATCGATCTTCTTTACGGGGCACTTAAGCAGAAAGACGTGTGCCATGAGCTTTGGTCGTCATGAAAACGTTGCTCCATGCATGCATACAACGTGTGTGCGCATTAAATTCACACAGGAAACCCCTAGCATGTCGGACCATAATCATACGCATTGATTTGACGCTTTCCTCTTTTGATTGAGGTGGGTTTGTCACAGTCTGCATCAACTGAACAAGGCTGAAGTGCAGTTTAAACTTTCAAATCCCCTTAAGTTTTTTTAGAGAAATGCTCAAATCAGGATGAAAAAGGTTCATTTTCACTTTTATTTCAATTAAAGGGACACTTGCATGACGTACAACTGTGTTGAATTCTAGCTTAAAACTTACGTGTGACGTTAGCTAGTCAGGCCTAGGCCTAAATAGTGTAGTTTTAAGTATAAAAATTCTGGTTTAAATAAAAAAACAAGCACTGAGATGATGTATATTTCTAATTGAACTAAAACTAAATTAATTTTAAAAACTGCCCCAAGAACATTATGAACCGTCTGAGAAAGTGGAAATAATATAGACCCCCAGGGTACCAACAACCGTTGGACCTCATTTTCCACTTCTTTTAATTGGTTTATTTTAAGGAGAGTGATTGGCCTTCCTGAGAGATTTGAGGAGAGCGATCTATAGCTCTCTTGGACTTTCTTAAAATGAAGGACTGATACTTCCAAGTTACAGTTCTGTAGTTCTGTTGGCTTAGTATGAAGTACATGTAATACAGTTTCAACATTTCTATCAAACAAATTAAACCCACTAGGGTGTGTGTAAAATCACATTGAAGTGGAAGGATTTAGGATTGTTTGGTTTTAGGAAAACTGTACAAGTTGTTCATCACAAATGTCTTTAAATTTGTGAAAAGCAGAGTTTTCTTAGCTTTTAAGGAGGCAACTAAAGATGCATGTAGTTGGAATGAGCAGAGAAAGAACTCTATGGAAGTGATATTTAGTGATGACAGTTTTGACGGTCTTGATCATTGCAGATGGTATGTTGGTCAGCTAGACTGCTCAGGTTTATGTGGACAAGCTCTGGGGCAACGTGGCGTCTACTGTATCGCTTTATCAAGTGCCAACTTTTGGCAGATAGTGGACGAGTCTAATTGTCCAGCAGAGAATAAGCCATCTGCCACTGCACAGTGTCATGGTCTGCCTCCATGTCAAACAGGTAAGGCTCGGAACTGGGCATTAGACAAACCTCTACTCGTCTGTGTTAAGCCTGGTTTTCATATGGTCATTTGCAATGCAGACGATCCACAAGACGTCAAGATGCAGACAGTCATGGAAGAGACACTGTGTGACGTCATTCCACCAACAAAATTAAGCAAAATGGTGTCCAACACTCAGAAAATTTTCACAAAAAAAAAAGGAAAACAAAAGAGGGAAGCAAGAGGAACACCGTTGTACATCCTTCATGCCAGCGTGTGTTTGCCACGACTTCACGCAAACAGTCGGCAAAGTTGAACCAGGCTCAACTTTGCCGATCCATCTAGAGCTGGTTTGCGTTTGTGGCGACCCTTTTGTTTGACATGTTTCCATTTGTCTGCGTTGCAGTTTGCGTCTTGATTGAATTGCTCTCTGCGTTTCTTACGTTGATATGGAAACCAGGCTTTATGTTGACGTGGTAAAGTAGTACCAGTACGTGTACTTAGACGAGGTTTCTACCAAGCACTGGAGTACAGAGTATTAAGAGCAACATGAATGAGTTTCACAGTACTGTCATGTGACCCTGTGGTATAACCACAGAAATGATTACAATAAAATGAATCAAGATTTGGAAGCTATGTCTAACATCCACAAGTGTCTAGATACATGTACATGTATGTAATGCAGAAAGGATCAGTCCTTTGGTTACAGAAATTGATGTCTGTTCTCCTTTTTTCCCATTTCTGTAGATAACCAGGAGATTTGTAATACTGTTGTGACAAGCCAAGGTTCTATCAATCGTATGATCAGTCCAACTGGAGGAGAACTTTGTGGATACACCATTGTTGCACCTGCTGGAATGGTGGTCATCATGCAGTTTGTGGACTTGGACATTGCATGTGATCAAGGTGGGTAGAGAAATTGAGTGTTGAGATGGTTCTGTCAATATTCACGAGTTAATTTCAAGCAAAAAAAAAAAATCAGTTAATTTCAAGCAAAAAAAAAATCAGTCACAAGTTATCATTTTTTTCCTTCTTCACTTGATGAATGCTTGTAATTATTATGGCCAGGTAATTATTGTGATTTAAAAGTTGTAGGTGGTGGTTTAGTATCACAGAAAACTGTGCTATTTTCTCACAGTTTTTTTGATATTTTGGTCTATTGTCATATCATGTTAATGTAGGTGAGGAGTTGGTCGTTAAGGATTCTTATACTTCAAAGGTGGACCTATGTGATGTGACCATCAGTCCTGGTACTTCTAAAGTATCAAGCTCCAACGTGGTACAAATTGAACACAGGACAACTCAAGCTGGCCATGGATATAACATCATATACAGCTTTACCTCCTACCGACAAAACTCAAGTAAGTCAAGTTGATTTTTCTTTTGGTGCTCATGGGAGGATGATCTAGTAAATGTTAGTACTGTTATTCATATCCTCTGGAAAGTTGTACCAATTCAAGTGGACAGACATCGTGTCTGGAGGGAATCGTATAGCACTGTAGAAATGAAGCTTTGTCAAGTGAGATATAAAATGGAAACCTATGAGATTGATGATCATGCTGGTAGAGTTCAACAGACAATCTACATGTACATGAATGTCTTGAATTCAAAGAGCTTTTAAGCAGGAAAATTACCTTACAATTTTGAATTTTCTGTCTACAGGTTGCGATGAGATTTTACTAGACAGTACTGGGACCATCCAGAGCCCTGGTTATCCCAACAACTACCCCAACAATAGACTGTGCAAGAAGTACATCATTGCTCCAGCCGACATGAAGATTGTGATTTCCTTTAATACTTTGAGCCTGTATGGCCTGTGTTGGAGGTCTTCACCCCTGTTCTACGATTATCTCACTGTAAGTTGCTTTTTACATGTATCATATAATATTATTCAGTATCAAAAATAGATCTGGTGGAAGACGGTGTTACTGTTCAAAACAAAATTCATTAGTAAAGGTAGTTTTAGATATGGAATGAATGAATAGAAACCACAAAAACACACCTGGACAGGTTAACGTGTCCCTCCAAAAGTGTCAATATTTTTGTAATACAGCTTTAGTTGGTAACATTTCTTATTTCTACAATCCCATGGAAAAAATGCTTAAATTGCAGTCCCCTAAATTGATTAAGTTTCTGCTTAGCAATGTTGTTTATCTTGAATAAGAAATGGTAAGTTAATGCATCCTTGTCAAGGAGAATATAATAGAAGACATTTCATTTTTTCTAACAGCTGTTGCCCTCACACCGAAATCAGTGAAAATTAACATCTCCCTGACGCAAAGTGAAACTGTTCTAGTAGGCCTGACTTACTACATATTTCATTCTTGTTTGTCTTCCAGATCCACGACTACGATAAAACTACCTACCGTTGGTTTTGTGGAACCTGGAATGATCCATCGCAACACAATTACGAATCAGAATCTAACAGAGTCAGAGTTACCTTCAGAAGTGACTTCTTTTATTCTGACCAAGGCTTCCAAGCCACTTATTCCTTTGTCCCAAAGAACTGATTTGGTTTTTATTGCTTAAAGTTCAGTTAAGTTTGGCCAAGAAATGTCACAAAATGGACTCTACCTTTAATCACTGGAATGTTTTATTAGCTTTCTTCCTACCGAGGTAACCAACAATACATTGTGAAATGTGGACTTTTTTATTTTGGGAGATGCACTTAGTTTGTCCTTGTTAATTTTCCAAGTAAAGTTTGTTAGGAACAAGTTTACCATGAAAAATTATACAGTTAGAAGCTGGATTCATATTTGGTAATAGAATCGTTGGGGTGAGGGTGGTGGAAGGGTTGTTTTCAGTCTTAGCTTTGTGATAATGAGGTTCAAGATTTTAGGCATACAACCTGGCGGCTACTTTGTAGCCATGCGTCCTTCAGGAGAATGCGTAGAGAGTAAATCTGTACTGGTGTGCACTGTTGGCATTTGGCAACAAGCATTGTCATTATTGTTAGCAAATCCTGTCACAAAACATCAAAAAGTTCAGCAAATGTTGCTCTTATACATGAAGCTATTATTTATGGGAACTATACAAAGACTCATTTATTTATTTATTTATCAATTCTAAACACTGTGTTTTCTACATAGTTTTCATATTGTGAGTTAGCCAAAACAATGGTACTAAGTCAGGTGTATAGAGAGTGTTGCTGGACAACACATTACTGCATGTGTAAGTTATTGAGTTAAGTAGAAATATCTAAATACTTTTGACTTGATGTTTTGTCTTTTCACTCATATCGATATTGATGTCTTTAACTGTGCTTCTTTTACCAACCTTGTGCTTGGGGATAAAAATAAGACTAGTGAAGTGGCAGGCAGGTATTAGGCCAAGTTGGTATTGACTTAAGAATCTAAGGCCATTTGTCAGCAAAGGCTTGGCCATTTTTATCACTGGAACACACTACACTGGCTAGCCATAGCCAGTCAGAGAAGTGGCAGATGTATCAAATGGTAGGGTTGTGGTGATCACTGATTAACCAGATTGTGCCAGGAAGTTTTATTGCCTGGGAACTTGCATTCTTTCAGTTTATCTCACAGAATTAGGTGTTCCCTTTCTGACTTGAGAATCACAAATCACTGGGAAAGACCATTTAAGTTAATGCACACTTACTAGTGTGACATGTACATGTATCAAGTATGCAGTTTGATTTTAGGTCCTAATTTATGATAATTTAATGTTTGACTATCAGGCTGGTCCTGTTTATTGCAAAATAAAACCAGTTTTAAAAAGATGCTGCCTTTTGTGATGGTTTTGTTCAATATGTTGAGATTTTATCAACTTTGAAAATATACACATTGTCCTTTTAGTTCACCAAATACATCAAAACTGTATTAATAATATATATTATATAATTATTAATATAATATATATTTGAGTCTACAATTTAAGACAACTTGTCTTCACAAGATGACCAATGTCTCCAAGTCCCTAATTTTGCCACCTAGGCCTATTGGCAAACTTGTCTGATTAGTTTCATCAGTAAGTGAGATAAGGGACGTGGTGACTGTATGATCACGTATATTAACAGATTATCATTACTATGACACAGGTTGTTCTCATAATGATACTATTCTATCTGGATGGATTCTCTATTTCAATATTCCTCACTTAGACCTACCGATGGGCCTACCTTTTGACTTGAAAGTTGGCTCTATTGATGTGACCATCCCTGGCTTTTTTGTCCTAGTAAGATTGGTAAGTTCCTTCTGAGTGTTGCTTCTGAAAGAACAAGAGATGAAAACATATGAAACACACATTTTCAGACCTTATCTGGTCTATACTTTGTGTGGGCAGGGTGGGAACAGTAAATGTTGTCTTTTTCTTTTTTGTTTAATGTTCGGCCCAATCTTCACTCTGGAAAGAGTTCCATATCTGGACATCACTTGACACCCTGTGCACAAACCTTACACGAATATTTATGAGACTGGTTCGAAAAATTTCAACTTGTTTTCCAAGAGATTGCTTCCTCATTTTCTCAAATAAAATTGACTTTTTAGGACATGTTAGCACTTTCTGATGGCTGATAAACTGCTGCAAGGGAAATGTCCGTATATGGAACTCTCAGTGGATGGAGCGTATACAATAAAATTGGTGCACAAAATGGACAATAGATTGAACATTCCACGAAAACTGGGCTAAATTTGTTCCAGTTTAATAACTGAATCACATGACCATTTAAGCAAACCACACCTTTCGTCCCAGTTGTCAGATACTTCCAGAATAACGTCTTCCTACTCCATCATTTGTGCATGTTTGAAACTCTGAATTCGAAGAGCTTTTGAGCAGCATTTCACATGTTAAAATATTGTAACCACGCGACTGCATTCACTTTAAATTCTTGCGGCATATTTCAAACAGCGCCCTCATTGTTTATGTCCCCGATGACGAGGCCAAAGGCGCATCGCAAACCAAATTTTGGGTTGAGGGGGACTTATTTGGGGCGCCAAAAATTGGGATATTATTCATGCAGCCTTTTTAATATATAAAAATATAAATTCCCTTCACAAACTTTGAAATGTTTTCGGAAAGTTAAGAAAGGACCATTTGCATCTGGAAAATCCTGCTAGATAAGTCCCGAGGGAGAAAAATGGCAAAATGTTTTGCCGAAGATTGATTTCTTTCGTACAATTTTCTTTACTTTTAAATAAACTTTTTACACTTAGATGAAAAGGAGACCCGAACACGGAAAAATCCAAAAGTTCATTGGCATATCACCCCCCACCAAAAAAAAAAAATTAAAGAAAGAACAGACGCTGAGAATCCAGGGGTATGTTAATTCAAGTGAGAACAAATCCCCAACCAACAAAAGTGTGAGAACGAACACGAGGTCACATCCACGACAGAATAAACTTGCCTCCGACAGAAATTTTGGACAAGGCAATTCGATTTCTGTAGGATTGTACTTATTCCCCTAATGAAGATTTGAATAGGAGAGGGCGTGGATTATTGTGCAGAAGCAAGAATTATCCCGCTTGATCGAGCAATGATTTAATGGTGTGTGTTATTGAAGCGTAGACTCCCATTGGTCAAGTTCAACCGGACCACAGCTTGACGGGACACTGGTGTCATGCAGTCTTTTACTAATTCACCTCTTAAAAATTTCATATTTTGCCTTTTTTGTTGCCTTTTTTTTACTTACACTTATACACGAACAAAAGTTGGCATTTCATTAAAAGTGGAGCGTTTCGTTTTGAAGTATGCATGAACGGTTGGCAGGTATTGGTTTGGTGGTGATGCGGGTATACTGTTCACACCCCGGTTAGCGATTTTAAAAGTAAGGGCCAAAAAAACGACGGAATTGCAATCGTTTGACGCCTGCTAAGATAGCTGTCTTTCCAAAAAAATGTTATTGTAATGTCCATAATTATGCTCAACCATTCCTTATTTGCAGGCCATTCTTCCCTGTAACTTTAACATTCCCAAATTCATTCAAAACAAATAGTCCCTGGTCCCATATCTCAATTTACAGTTACAGTAAAAGTCGGACATTCCAGTTGGCTACAATTAATCTTCAGAAACAGACAGCAAAATAACGTCACTTCATCACGAAAATTATTTTCTATATTTTTCTTTATATAAATAAACCAATGTATCATTGACGCTTTGGACTCTGTTTGGAGCTTGGACATTTACTTCGATGAATTAGGCGTAATGTAACTATTTCATGCAATGTGATTTTGGTATAATTCGTGAGTAAAATGACCCGGAAGTTTCTTACTATTATTGGTCTATTTGCGTGTTGAAACCATTGACTTTTTAAAAATTCTTTTGGAAGAGAAAATTGAGGCGTGTGTTATCGCGTGTCTGCACCCGCACGCCACCGGGTCACTATCGTCTTGCACACGCCGTCATCAATGCTGGATTTACCCTCGGTTTGACGTGGCGGACGTCCGCTAGCCATCGGGGGGCGACACACACAGCAACAAATTCTCTGCGAGCTCCTTGATAAAAAAAAAAAATCGATTTTTAACAAACAAAACAAAGTGCTAACAACTGGACGCACAACTACAAGCGGCCTTTCTTGTTTTTATTAATTTCCAGAGAAAAGATGTGTATTGCTGAAAAATTCTGCCCTTTACTTGGTGCATTGTGGCATGCGCACACGTGCAAAGGAAACAAATTAAATTTTGACTGTCTATAAGCGCAATGGCACATCCCTTGTCGGTATAAGGAGGTTTGGTATTGTCCCAAATGACAATGATCAGTTGAAGTGGAGAGATACATCAAAAGATAACACATGGCTACCAGTGAATGGTGAGGAGGTATGATTGTGAAGGTTACTCAAGTGCGGCACCAGTTTTACTTTTCTTGGGGGGGGGGCTATGGACACACAATGGTCATTCAGGATATCAAGCACTCTTTGTACATAACCCATCTAATTAGATTTTTCTTAATGCACGCAGTTAAACACGATACAAAAATAAGCTCTTTGAGTCCATCTCATTTTTGCCAGGATTAGCATCAAAGGAATCGTGGAAGTAAAATATTAGAAAAGGAAGGAAAAGGTAGTGATGCCATTCATTCCCAGTTTCCAGTGTAGTTTGCGATCAGTTTGATGTTAACATTAATTTTGAAACTTTTCAACCAAAAGGTTCATTGTTAGCCCCCTTCTATTTATTTTCTATGTAAAAGACATTTGCAAATCTTCTGACTCGTTTTCTTTTGTACTCTATGCTGATGACACAAATGTTTATGTACCGACAAAGATTTACATGTTCTGTTTCAAGAAGCGAATAATTATGTACTTGGCAAAGGTTTCTGACTGGTTTGGCCTATAGACTATCAGTAAATCACAAGAAGTGTAATTTTATGATTTTCTGCAATAAGAATAGGAAGTGTATTCATAAATATAATATTGCTATTGATAATGAATTCATACAACTTGTTAATACCACTAAATTTCTTGGAGTTATTATCGATAGTAAGCTAATGTAGAAGCCCCATATACATGGAATCTGTAACGAACTTGCTAAATCGATTAGACTCAAACCTCTTTTCCCAAGGCATGTACTATTTTGCGAACTCTTTACTTCTCACTAGTATTACCTTGCATTTCATATTGTAATATTGTGTGGGGAAATCTGTATCCTAGTAACTTGAGTAAATTGATAACATTGCAGAAGAAAGCTCTCCGTATCCTTTCCAAAAGTCACTTTAGGACAAATTGTACTTGTTTACATGCAAATGGCTAAACAACTTCCCTCTCACTTTGCCAACATGTTTCAAGGTAATTGTAATGTACACAGATATAATGCGAGGTCTTCCTCTCTTTTGCATTTACCCAAGTGTAGGATTACTGCATCTAAACATAACATACTGTACGATATTCTGGGCCACATCTTTGGAATAGTTTACTTATCACGATAAGGAACTCATCCAGTTGGAGGCTTTTCCAATCTAAGCTTAAGATTCTTTAAACTGGTTTTCTGCTTGTAGATCTGCTATTCAATATCACATTGTTTTTAACCATCATAATAAATTTGATCAATTATGATTTATCAACCGTAGGTTTTTTTCACTGTTTTTTGCACTTGACCTTGGACTGTTTTTCATGTAACTGTTACTGATGTATTACTTTCTATGTTCTTGTATTTCCTTGTATTTGTCTGTCATGGCACACCAGCCACAAGCTCTGCTTTTTGGGATGTGCCTCCATTTCAACCATCATAATGTTGTTATATGTAATACTGTACTTTTGTACCTTGTCTTGAGAATGGAAATTAATGTATTGAAACTGTAAGGTGCGTCGTTCAAATTTACATCAAGAAAGTCTAATGATGTAAAGTAATTGCTTCACAGAAAGTGAAACAACTTTGGTTTACATGTTCAACTGTACTGAGATCAGAACATCTTCATTACATGATTACTAAGTTTTGTTGCTCGATGGACCTTTTTCTTCGACAAGTCGCAGTAACTTCAAAGTCATCCTACCTCGTTAACGTGAACTTTCTCGAGGTTTGCATTCGATTCTTTCTTTCAAGTCAACCACTCTCAATGAGTGTGGACGCCGAAACAGCTGTGGATGAAAAGACGCTTAATTCAAGCGTAAAACAAGGCGAGCGAAGACCAGCCTGTTGAACTTATTGTAATGACTTAATTATGATCTGGCCTATACACGGTATATGAATAATTGATGAGGTAATGAATGAAATGGTAAAAGCAGAAATAAATAACAACGGAGACTGCATAATAAGAAGGCACACTACTCTGTAAAGCAACGGCGTGTAATGTCGGCCTGTACGGCAGATAGGACAAACCATAATGGGAATTATCAAAACACAAAGGAATCCCTGCATGGGTGAATTGCAAGGAAATTCAAAGAATGACAAGAGACGTTTTAGAGATAAAACAGAAATAGACGAGACATGTCAAATTTCAAATTCAATTATTTTTTAAGCTTGGAAGACTAGGCGTTGTGATAATTACAAAGGTGTAAATGGGATAATTAAAACAGACAAGAAATTGAAAAGGCCTACGCACCTTTGCTGAAAAGAAGGAAAACATGTTATAGAAAGTTCAAAATGGCTCAAAATTTATGAGTTGGGGGCTTAAATCACTGAAAAAAAAACACCAAGGTTAAGTAAACCACGATTGCCACTGAAAAGGAGACTTCTTATATCATAATCCAAAGGGAGAATCTTCAAGGTTTTCATTTCCTCGAGGAAGTAAAAAAAAACCTCCACTCTTTCTCAGAATCAATTACCGTGGAGGAATAGGTTGTGTACGAATCTAGCCAGGGCCGACGGTGTGCATTGTTCGCGTGTCTCGTCACAGGTTCGCTGTCACGAATCGACGGGAGGAAATTAGGACTTTGGTAGTGATGGGGGCTCGTTGACTCCAATTTCCTCCAAGGAATTCATGCGAAATTTATGTCCCAAACAATGATCTGGTTGCTGAAGTTCGATTTTCTTTTTGTAGTATACCGTGGTTTCTTTTTCCCGATTGCAAGTGCTGTATTTCTCGAGTCTAATTACAAGCGTCTTCGTGTCGTGGACTGCGCTGCCGTGCTACAGGCAGTAAATGTCAATACCACACAACACTGATTTTCCTCAATACATCCTCTAGGTCATGTGCTATGGTTATAAGGTGGAATGATCATACTTACTTGGAGTTCAGTTTGCCTTCTGTTAAAATGAACATGTGCGAAATCACCGAGAATTGTTGGATTTCAAAAGGGTATGTGTATAGTGTTAGATGTGAAGGGCAGAGACATGCGTGTATAGTGTTAGATGTGAAGGGCAGAGACATGCATGAAGTAGGATATATCAGCATGGATGTAGATGTTACTTCTGAACATTTTTACTCAACGGAGTGAGTCATTTAATGAGCAGGTTTCAATTGTCTCGTGTTGCATCATGAAGCAACTTGGGTGTGCTGAAATCAAGCCTAGCAGCGCCGTGGCACGTTTGGAGGTGTAATACTCTCGACAGTGGCGCTATTCAAATGGAATCTCTGACAAGTCTACTAATTAAATTTGTCTACTTGCCGCAAGTTCAAAACTGCCTCTTCTCATTTCGCTAATAGAAATCGAAGGGCCTGGCTAGTTCTAGGCGTCTGCACAATTATGTAAGATCAGTTTATGCGTGTGAGTTGTGTGTAGCATTCGTCGGGCCACGTGTTGTATAGTCCGAAAACGCGGGAGATCGTGTCCAATTTGTGTTAGCTTTCGACGCACCAAGGCAGTTACCATGGCCAACATTGTTGTCTGCGATTTGTAACTGAGACGAGTTTACACGTGCAAACATTCTATGTAATTTCAAAATGGCGGAGCCAAGGTTTGGGCCGAATATAAATGAGTTACTTTTGACGTTCAGTTATTGTTACATCAGAGATAAGGCATAATGTAATAATTGACACAATAGAATGAGAAACTCAACTGTAACGGAATTGGAAAGCGAGACACACTGACAACAGAATACAGCGTACACGTCTTAAACTCTCTCATGTGAAAACAGCCATTTGAATTAATGCACATAGACATACCAATTGAGCGAAGTTCATATGGCAAATTAATAATTGCAAAATAAGAAATAAACATCAAGAAACAAGAAAATTTGTAAAAGGAACAATTGAAACCGGATGAACAAACGGATGACATTTTAAAAGTTAATATATATAAAAATGTAGCTTATCAACAAATAAAATGAAGCAAATGGTTCTTTGAAATTAATGTAGAAGCGTCGAGTGTATTAAACGCATACCATCTCAAATGCATTTCGCAACATAGATTTGATTTTTTTTTACCATGAATTATTTAAACCGAGTTTTTACTTTATACCTTCCTTTTATTATAAACTTTTACCAAACTGATTGCAACTTTTGTTTCATGAATCAGTAATCCCTAACCATCACTGCGTATCTATAGTGATGTAGACACGCACCGGACAACTACAGGCCGCACAATCAAGGCTCATGCATACATATACCCGCCATGAATTAATCATATTTCGTTCCCCTTGCTCGAACTATTGAGTTCTTTGGCTCTCTTATCAACATCAGATGGAGTAAGACAAATACATTACGCCATGAAGTATATGACCACAGGTGGCCAAGCAAGGCAAAATTCGCACGAGGTTCTCTAAAGTTTTCTGTTTGATAAAGTATTAATTTAGAAACCACCTTGATAATTAATTCGCTGAAGCTGACAAAGCAATGATTAGACATTATACAGATTGACGACGAGTTAGTAGGATATTCATTACTGGAGTGTAAAAATATAGGGTAAAAGGTAAGAAACTATGACATAAAAGCAAGCCAAACGTTCCCTTGCATAAGACGCACAAGAAACACAGATGAAGGTGTCCACTGAAAATCCCAAAGCATGAAATGAAATTAACTTAAGAAAACCAATTCCAAGAGCCTGCGGCAACACCTTAGAAACAGTATACTAACACCTTCAGTTTAGGGAGGGGACTATTTATCCCTCGACTCCAAATCTTGATATGCTACTATAAAATACGCGTGTGAGACTCGAACATCACAACACTAATGTGAAGATATTAGTGACAAGAGATGATTATCGGGAAGGCAACCGTTTTATGTAAAAAACGAAAAATGAAGTGTGAAACATGAATGAAAAACCATGTTCTTGCAAGTCTCCAAGCTCATGTTGACGAGCAGCAGGTCTAACGAAACAACGCCGCCAATACACACACGCGCGATGTTTGCAGAATCGCAGCGCTATTTTTCAATTAATAATAATACCCACTCCAGCAACATATGAGATTTGATTGAGAGTTGAATATCGATCCTTCCGATCAATATATCGATGTAGTGGGGTTTCATAACCAGTACTGTGACAGCGCGCATGGTGGGTGGATTTTTATTAAGTATGAGGAAAGGTATAGGGTATGAAATCTAAAAAGCTTATTGTCAACAATAACCCTGTCATGATTTGTAATAAGTGAAATATTAAAAAGTATGGTATGGCTTATATTTATTCAGTAGGAGAGTTTTGGAGTGAATTTTAACAGTTTTTGTGAGGGTTGATATTTAATAAAGCTTCAACAGTTTCGCCGGAAGAAGAGCCATGAACGTTCTACAAGTAGCCTTTCCGTGCATTTTCATCATTCAGATTTCATAAAAATCCTGAAAATTTCTCCCTACTATTTTTCGGTCGAAAGATAAGTAAGGGCAGTCAAGCCCTCTTCACGCTGTCACGAGGTAGAGAGACGGACAAACAGTCAACCTTGAAGAGAATATAAAGAGATCGGAACCAAAACAGAAATGCAGGGGAGTAGAAGCCGCACTAATTGCATGAAATATAAGAACGATGTTTTTTTGTGAGAGTCTTTTTACCGCCGTGTGGGAACCACGCGGTCTGCGCAACTAGCTCTGGTCGATATTTGTGTTTGCAGCACACCGCACCAAGTACAGAAATCTTTTGTCACTAAGTCGACCAGGAATAGTTGGCTTCCATGCAATATATCAAAGTTCCATTTCACTGCCAGTCGCTTCAACGGTTGCCATGTACCATGTACGATACAAGGAACACGGGATTGATTCAGCAAAAATTGAAGAGTGACGGAACAACAGGCAGATCCGCCAGCTAATTTATGGATAAAAAATCGTACAAAAGGGTGAAACAATTAGCAGTGTCTGCTTTACCTATTTCCTTCAGTGAGTTGCTCTCAGCTGCTCGTCTGGCTTTGTCTGTTCCAATAAATCAAAACAAGGATAAATCATCAATTATGGACAGATATGGGATGATGGTAGACCGCCCGGGGCAACAAAAGAAAAAACACCGCTCGCTTGCATAGAGAGAACAACTGTGTGTAACACCTCCACAATAACTAGTGCCTACTTTCATTTTCAAAAAAAATTATAATACGCCCTGTGCGTCTGTCCATTTCATGGAGACAACAAGTCTCGCTTCAGACAAACAAACTGGCTTCAAGGAGTACGATTTCTGGCAAACATAATAGTCACATTACAGGCGATTTGTCATGGAAAAAAACCATAGCAGGCTTGCCGATTATTTACATAATTATCATTTAAACGCTTTGGCATAAACCATACTAAGAAAACACTTGAGCGAACGAGAGAGAAACGTGTTTTTTCTCTCTTACAGATTCAAAGCGACATTATAGGGGATTTACAATAAACCTTTGACAGAAAAGTAATTTTGAATCATACAAGCCATGATTCGTGTACAAGAGGGCAGGGACTAATTTCATCATAAAATGATGGGATGCTCACGAGGGCGCCCTGTCATGGCGGAAATTTTGTTTATACATTCCTTCCACCATTACGAGGGGGCGTTCCTGATGAGCTGTGATCACATGACAAATCACTTGTCGTATCGCGTCGAGCTTGTCTGGACATGTACCATGTCACTTCCATGACAACATAAAATGTCACTCATGTGAAATATTTACAAATCTATCACGAAATGCTACAATTAATTCTTTGCGGAATTTTATGAAAAAAAGGAAGTTTTGTTTAAAAAAAAGAAAGAAACAAATAGGAAGCAGAGGGTTTACTATGAAAGGAAAGAATCAGAAGTTGGTGGATGTGCATTCTTTGGTCAGTTAGTTTAGAGAGTGTCCTTTTAAAAGTAAACTGGGCAAGAGATTAAAATTGTGGGTTTATTTTTTAAAACTCCAAAATATAGAAATCAAGATGTTTAACAGTTACAAGTAGTCATAAAGGCAGAAAAATTACTAAGACCTCCATTGCATGACAAGAATACCATAAACACCGTGTCTGTTCTGCTGACCGCAAAAGATGCTGCTAGTCGGACAAGAGTTTTTTAATGAAAACACAGCGATGATGAGTGTGTCCACCACCGGGCTGCGACGACATTGATAGCGAGTCAGTCGGTCGGTACAAAAAACCCGGCAAGTTGTCCTTCGAAGAACACAAAACAAGGCTTGCAGCTGCTCGCGTGCCACCCCGTGCAAGCACTGTGTGGAGGGGAACACTTGAGCTTGGTCTCTCGCTTGTTGGTCCTCTGCCCCCCCCCCTTGTCTGACTGGGTTCCATTGTTACTTAACCCGTAGTAACACTGCGTGCATGATGAATGATCACAGAATTGCCATATACAAATGATTCGGTATTTTATTCTGAATTGAGCAGGATTTTTGAGAGGCTCCTACGAACAGGGGCGGATCTTCGATCGCCGGTTGGCGTGGCTGGCCTCGTTGGCTTACATTAGTATGTGTGTGTGTCTGGGTGTGTTGGGGGGGGGGGCAGGAACTCCCAATTATCGTAGATGGAGTGTTTTGATATGCGCGTAATACTCGCCCAAATAAAATCTTTTATTTGGGGTCGAGAATATTTTGTTGCATGCCCCAGGCACTACTGCGCCAATCGCAGTTAGTTCTCTTATGTACTTCTGATGGAAATGAAATTTGACATTTTAACCAACGGGGCCACAACGTTTTATCCGAGGCAACAAATGTTTGTCCTGGCAAAATCAAGGAAAAGATCTCAACCGGATT